CTGTTTGTCTGAAACCCTGCACCTCAAGAAATCCTTCTGTGCGGCTTCGTTTGGCTGCGTTGTTGATTATCGCCGTCGGCATTTCTGCAACCCGCAAACAGAGACTCACTTTTTCGGTCGTAGCTGCGCTTTGGGTCTAAGGCCACGATCAAGCCGAAACTCTAAAGCCGACTCCACTTACACGGGGACGCTCAGGGAAAAAGCTGTTACTCATTGTTCCGACTGGGGCCCCTAACACCCTAAGCCCTCTAAACCCTCAAACCCTATAAACCTTAAACCCTACGCCCTCAAACCCTAAACCCTCAACGCCTTAAACCCCAGACCCTCTAAACCCTCTAAGCCCTAAGCAGTGTGTCTTAGACCTTCTGTGATTCAGTCCGCGTCCGACACCTGCTTGAGGCAGCGCCCAGGTGTGAATGGCGCACGGGAGGCTGTTCGACCCGGGCTCGAGGGATTCATAGGGCTCGTCTTCGAATCTGGTTTAAGGGTTCAGGCTGTTCAGGGTTAGGGTTTAGGGTCCTAGAGGTACTCTTTCGGGTTCTCTAGTCTTGCGTATCCCCAAAGCCCTCTACCTTCTTGGGTGCGCGTGTACTCTGTATAGGCAAGATGAGCAACCCTCGCGCTTTACCGGCCTCCTGCACTTGCGGCTTCCAATTTTTCTTGACGGGCCTGGGAGTCTGCTTTAGGGTTCTAGGGTTTAGCGTTTCGGGTTTGGTTTAGGGTTTTCTTCACGGCGACGGCGGTTCCGGGCGACAGAAGCCTGCAGCAAAAAGGGTTTAGGGTTTCTTCATCTGGATCTGGATCTGCATTTTTAGTGAGTAGTTGCCAATTTTGTTTTGGGGGCTCCTCATTCTAATTATAGTATAATATACCCCCCCCATTCCAATTATTAAGGCCCCTACATGACCCCAGTTCCTCCAAAAAAGTTGATGGAGGTTTCTTTGTTCCTTGCCGAATTGATCTCGTAAACCCACCGCCGCGAGTGATCTAGTTAGTTCTCTTGACGAACGAAGGCACGTTGAGAATCCACGGAACATTAAACCCTAAACCATAAACCCCTACGCCCCTAAACCCTAAAACCTTAAACCCCTGACGCCCTAAATCCCTTAACCTGACGCCAGCGATGTAGGACTGGGGAGTTGACAGGTTGAGAGGTTCGAAATTCGGCCCACAGGTGCAAGCTGGGGTATGGGGTTTAGGGCTTAGGTTTCAGGATTTAGGGTTTAGGGTTTAGGGTTTATAGGGTTTAGGGTTCCGAAGTCGCGTAGCGCAAGCTTCTTCGAAATCCCCGCTGCCTCTGGACCTACTAGGAGGTTCATGGGTAGATAAGTTGGGTTCATAAGTAGGGCAATGGTTATAACCCACAACTTCTACCAACCATGATCCTCCAAGTAGGCCCTAAACTTTCCGAACCCGAAGCCCTAAACCACTTGGGCACTTCGATAAACTAGGGTTCCGTTTAGGGTCGGAAGCCCTAAACCCTAAGCACTAAACCCTCCCCTAAACCCTAAACCCTAAACCCCTCAACCCTAAATACTTAAACCCTTAGCCCTAAGCCCTAAACGCAAAGCCCGGAACCCTAAGCCCTAAACCCCAAGCCCTAAACCCTAAACCCTGAGCCCTAGACCCTAAGCCCTAAACCCCAAGCCCTAAACCCTAAGCCCTAATTCCTAAGACCTAAACCCTAAACCCAAAGCCCTAAGCAGTAATTCCGAAGCCCTAAACTGAACACTTTAAGTTCTAAATCGTTTAAAAGTCAGGATGGGCACCGAAAGGTTCAGGGCCAAGCTCGAAGCAGAACGCCTCGAAGGGCCTAGACCCAAAGACCACATGTGGTTTAGGGCCTAGGGTTAAGGGTTTAGTTTGGTTCTCTGAGTTTGGGTTCCTTAAAAGGATCTCCAGGCGAGTTTCTGTTGGAGTGCTATAGGGAAGTTCTCTGAATTAAGGGGGTCCTTTGTACAGGGGTGCCGTACTGTTTGGGGGACGCTTATAGTTTAGAGAACTACCCATGTGGGCACTGCTTCAAAGTATTCCGCAGTTCTTTTTGAGGGGACAGGCAGAAGTTGCACTGAAAGCAGGCACTGGCCGCAACTAGCCGATTACTGTGGTGCCAGCAGATAGCAGAAGGTCTTGAGCTCCTCGGTGTTAGGGATTCAGGGTGTGGTGGGGGGTTTAGGAATGCAATTGCGACTTGATTCTTGTGGCTTTAGGGGTGTACCCGCGAGCCTTCTTGGGGTAGATCCAAAAACCGCTGAAAGGATTAACCCTCACCCCCACACATACCGTGAGCTCTTAACCTCTTCATGGCCGGCGAAAGCCCAGCAGGCTCACGATTGCTTCTGAGATGTTCGGAGTCTTTGCGTGCGCCGTGGACGACGGGCCACCAACCCAAATCAAGCCAGAGCCGCTAGTGTATCAGCGTACGTAACGTCACCGTTCTAAGTTACCTGTAACCTCTGTCAAGGCAGCCTTCAGGCAAGCTTTCAGTCCCTCGGTGAAGCTGTCCTCAGAGTTTCGGTGTTAAGGGTGTCAGGCAACCAGAGCGAACGGCTGGCCGCGAAATTTTTCTGGAGTGCTTATGCTACGCTCAATGATCCTGACGAGCTGGTGTCCCAGTTCGGTCCGTCCAGCAAGCGGTAGCCTTCGAAGACTGTACACTAGCCCTGTGCAGTAGCGATTGGCAGCTGTAGTGGCTTACGGAGCCTAGGGAAAGCATTTCCTAAAGAGCTGCATCACTCGATTTCTAAAAGCAGGCTCATTTCCGCACTGCAGTTGCCAAGCCGTGCCCGCGCGCGTGCGCTGAATTTTCAGGAAAGTTCCCACTGAGGACGTTCGAAGCCAATCGGCTATGCCCTAACCCCAGCCTTGGTTTGGCTTGGAAGGCGCCAGCACCCCAAAGGCCCCGGGCCCTGACCCCGAAGCCACAAACTCGCTATTTTTCAGTGGGAGCTGAGAAATTCGAAGGATGGTCGCAGTTCGCAGTGCTGAGGTTTTCCACGGGATGAGCCAGCACGGTCGAAGCTACCAAAACCTATACCGTAAAGTCTGTATGAGAGATAAATACAACAAAACGGGTCACGTTTAGGGCTGGGCAAGGAGACAAGAAACCTACCCATCTTGGTTGAGAAACCCCCGCAATTTCCAGTGTTTCGTGAGTTCGGACCGTTTCCCTAGCCCCACGATTTCAACAGCAAGGCTACATCGTGTTTTTTTTGCTGTGGTTCCTTCATTGTTTCGTACTCTCGACTTGTCCGAAACTAGGACCCTTCTGTTGCATGCAGTTGTAATTACTTCAGCCCTTTTCTAAGCAACATGTTCGGGAGATTTCGCCCCAAAGCATCCGTGCCCCAAGCATGATGACATCCGTGGCACCGGCGCATCCGTTCGTCCAAGAGCATCCGAACTGCCTTCGCCATGGTCAGTACTAAGAGCAGGAGCAAGAGCATCTGTGACCCTGCGGGCGACAGCGACTGCAATAGCGATGGCCGTGGAAGTAGCAGCAGCAACATCACCGTCAGTTGCGATAACAGCAATGGTAGCAAGAAGACCAGCATTTACATTCTATAAATAATCGTACAGCACTTGAAGATATCCGCGATATACTCACAACTGGGGTGTGCACATCAAACTCAGCCCTTCCCAGCCCAGATCTGCGGCATGCGAAGACAATGAATCAGCTTGATTGACCCCTGCCAGCCAAAGAAAAGGCTGTCGAAACGCCTGAGGGTTTGTTGCAACCCTACAGCAGCCTCTTATCGTGCGAACTACCAGAGGTTGGATAGTTGCCACTGGTGGCCATTCGATCATCGCATCCTTCAGCTTGCAGCGGCAACAACAGCAACAACAAGACAATACTGACGGAAGCTTCACAGAGCAACATGACTTTTCAGGGCAGTGCGCGTGTTCGCCCTCATTGTCAGCGTCATGTTCGTCACGAGTTGTCAGTACCTGTATCCACATCATCACATGTGTCCCTGCATAACATTAGAAAAACGGCTCTTCGACAAAGATCACCACCAGGCATGTTGATGATATTCATCTTCTTCGTCATCATTCAGCAATTTCGGCAGCGAAGAACTCATCACATTCTAACATAATAAACGTCAGAACGTCAGATTCCCGAGGTCCTGAGCTGGCGGCAACCCCAAAACACGGCAGGGAAGCTTGCCATGGGTTTGCTGAGTCCTACGTTGGCCGAGGGTTTAGGGAATCCTGTACATGAACCCTGTATGTCGGCTCTCCATCCCCAAGCCCTCGTCCATAAGCCCCAAAACCACAAACCCCTGCGAACAGGATGCCTGCTTCACGAACCGCTTCGTCGTACGTACGGAAGGCAGGAGGATGAATTGCTTGCATTGGAACCTTGCGCTTACGGTATCAGGATGAACCACTGCAATTCCAGGGTTTGTCTTATGTTGACGATCGTTGCAGTTATGAATACTACTATTCTTATTGGTATCATGAATATCAGCATTGTTGTTATTGCTGTTAGTGTTGTTAATTATGTATACTGTTGTTATTAGTAGCCGTAGAAGTCATAGTAGTAGTAGTAGTAGTAGTAGTAGTAGGAGTAGTAGTGGTAGTAGTCGAAGTAGTAGTAGTAGTAGTAGTAGTAGTAGTAGTAGTAGTAGTAGTGGTAGTAGGAACAATAGTACTAGGCGCCAGCCTGCTCCTGTTCCCCTCCTGTCTTCTCTTTTTCATCGTCCCACAGCCGTTTCAATGCTTGTTCGTGGACACTGCTCCTTTGCCAGCTTGAAACCCGGTCTAACACAGGTCGTTCCCATTGCATTTGGTTTTCCTGCTAGATATGGGGTTTCCCATTAGACAGAAAATTTCCTATTAGATAGGGTTTTTCTGTTGGATAGGCTTTTCCCATTCGTCCTAGTAACTAGTAGTATTAGTATGCATAATACTAGTAGTTCCTGGTAGTAGTGGTGCTTTTGATACCACGGCTAATGCTGGCTGCTAGTGCTATAAAAGCCTGTGAATAAAGATCTGGCCTCTGGCATGCTGGCCCGGGATTCTCTGCCGGGCAGTTGGTCAGAAAGGTTCCACCTGCTTGACGAGGCACGGACTGTCTCCAGCTCTCCACATTTATGTATGTTTTTGTGTGTCGGCATGTCTATGTGTGTGAGAGAGAGGGAGAACGAACGAGCGCGAGAGGGAGAGAGAGAGAGAGAGAGAGCAAGAGCAAGAGCAAGAGAGAGAGAGAGAGAGAGAGAGCAGCAGCAGAGCGAGCAAGAGACTTAGTGCATGTGTTTGCGCGTGTTGGGGGGCAGACTGCTTGCTTGTGTTTTATGTGTTTCTTGTTAATGACAGCAGTTCTTTTGATCAGTTGTGACATTTGGAGAGAAAGCTGTGGAGGCAAACATGATGCAGCATCATGCAGCACCCGTCAAAGGTGAGCGCAGGCATCTCAATCTTAGTCTTAGAACGCGTCTGAACCTGCAGCTGTAGTAGGGCTTCCTTCGTGGTTTAGTTGCTTGATAAAGTGCCCGAACAGGCTGCACTCCAAGCATCCACAATGCTTCCCGTTTTCAACTTATGCTGAAAGCAGTCCGCATCTGAAACTCGGGTTTTCCCTCGCCACCTCTGCTGATAACCCGGATCCCCGAAGGTCCAGTGCCTTCGGCCTCTCCGATGTGGTTCCTTGCTTTCAACTTTGGTTCTTCGGTGCATTGAATTTCTGGCATCACACATATTTCTTTGTCAGAGCATGTCCGTCTTACAGTCACGAGAACATTTATCAAATGTAGTCCGATGCATTCAAAGTGCCGCGCCTGCGCCTATCAGGCTCAATCAGGAAATTCCGTAAACTTCGCGGCAGGCGGGCTTTAGAAGGAATTTGCTGTCTCCCTGCTTTGACCCTAAACCCTAAACTCTAAACCCAAACCCTGAATGGGGCCAGTCTTCAGCAGGCCCTTGCTCTCTCCTAGCGATGCGGCCAATGAGCGAACATGGCGGGGAGCTTCCGGGCACCGCAGGCTTGAGAAAACAAATGTATAGAGGGGAGTTTCCAAAATTTAGGGGTACCTTAGTTGGGGTCCTTAAAATAGGGGTCCTACTATTTAGGGTGCTATATTAGGGTCCCCTATTTTCGGAAACCCCCATATAAGAAACGAAATAAACGAACGGAACAAGTAAATGAGAGAAGAGTGTATTTGTATGTGTATATATGCACATAGTGTTGAGTTTGTTATGCTTCTTCTGATTATTCTTGCCATTCTTATCGATAATGTGTTAAAGCTGTTCTTATTGTTCTCATGATTCATATTACTGTTATTTTTGTTGGTATTACTAGTATTATCGCTATTGTTACTCTTAGTTTTATCCGTATGGTGACTATTCCTCTTAGTAATAACATCATGAATGTTATTGGTACTATGACTTTCGCTACTACTTTATGAAAACTACCAGTTGTAGTCATATGACTAACATTGGCAAGTACAATCATTGTTGTTAGTATTCTTGCTCTCATACTATTAGGTTTTCTCGCGTATTGTGTGCAAATATGTATACACATAGACTGTAACATCCCGTGAGCTGTAAACTCCTCGGTGAAGGATCCGCAATTCCAAGACTTTGTCCTTGCCTAGTGCACACCAATGCCACTGCACGATCACTGCCAAGACAAGAACAGCCACAACGACGATGATAGACGACGAGTCTGGACGGTTCAAACGAATCCAAGCCGCGCCGTGGGAGGCAGTGCTATAGCCGCAGCAGCAAACCTTTCGGCCCGCTTGACGTCGCCCTGCACAGGAGGATTTAGGATGAACGCCTGCGGTTCGAATGCTTCGTATTGAGGTTAACGGTTAACCAGTAGCTAGTAGGAGTTCGTGACCGGAGCAGTGTTGCACGAGCAGGCTGCATCTCGGCTTGTGACGGGAAGCTCTGACGGGGACGAGGTGATCCCGCCGGTGAGAAGGAGACATGGAGCTTTCTGCCCACTCATACCAGTACTAAGCTGCTAATTTAACATCATTTCTTTGTTGCTGTTGCTGTTGTGAATACTAGTACTGTTGCATTCCGAATTCCACTGTCTCCAGTGGTATGGATTTAGATTCTTGCATTTCTTACCAATAGTACTTGCGCCAAAGTTATGTTGCCTATAACTATGCTGAACGCTTGGAAGCCTACGTAACAAGACACACGACAAGGACAGTTCTGCTTCGACGACGGCGACGACTACGACAGCTGCTGCTGCTGCTGCTGCTGCTCCTGTCCTGCTCCTGCTACTCCTACTCCCACCACTACCACTACTACCATCTACTACCCCCTTGAAAGTATGCATGGACGCTTCGCACACGAAGGTTTCTGCAGTCCGAAGCCTGGAACCTCTGCGAGCTGGCCCTGAAAAAAGGCCTGCTGCAAGGCCATAGCACGTCCTTCCACCAAAGCCGCGTGTGTCACCTGAGGAGTCCGAGGTGGGCAACCCCGCCTCAAGGCAGAACTACCCACAACTTCGAACCCTTCTACCCTGAATCCTATGCGATCTGAACATCTGTCAGGCTAGGCTCCAACCACGGAGAGGACAGGTTGAGGGCTAGGCTTTGGGATTTACGGTCTGGTTCAGGTCACCATGTCGTTTGACATGGCTGCCTGCAGCTGTAGGCTTTTGGCATGATTCTGCGGTCCAGCTGCCGCCCGATTCCAAAGGAAGTCCCGATCAAGAGTTTCCTCCCAGAGGTCGCACCTGGACTGGGATGTTGAGACTTCCTCGAACTAGAAACCTGACCAATACAAGCAGTTTGCAGTACATCTGCATCCTCCTCGCACTTCCCATAGGCTTCAGAAGCATAAGCATGCAAAACCTGAAATTCGTCTGGGATAGGGCTTCGCGTTCGGGATCTGGATCTACCTGGACCCCCCCAACTCCCCTCTATGCTATGCCCTACATACCCGCTTTTAAGGAGCACAAGGGCTCCACGAAGGGTCCTCGCACGCCGAGGGGCGTGTCCATGTTTGGATTCGCGGCAAGCCAGTCGAGATCGAGGCTGGCTAAGTCCCAGAGGTCTTTCGACATGCTCCTGGGATGGTTTAGGGTTTAGGGTTTAAGGTGAAGACCTACTGTTTGGGCTTAGGATACAGGGATGGAGACCTAATGAAGGGTTCAGAATTCGTCATAGGAATGGAAATCTAAGATTTGGGATTAGGATTTAGGGTTGGAGACCCAAGATTTGGGTTTAGGGTATAGGCTTTAGAATTGATGGGGCCTTAAGAGCCAACAACTTGGGGTATATTCGACTACAAGATGAGCTAAGAGTCCCGAGAGCAGCATTATAATGCTGCTTAGGGTTTAGGGCTTTAGGGTGTTTAGGGTGATTCAGCACCCTGACAAAACCCCCTCGACCTTTAGCGAGCACCGTGACTTGCACATGCTTGGACGTGGTGGTTAAGATGCTCTGAGGTACTTCATCTTCTGCGCTGCTTCCTTCGACGACAACAGTCCGACTCGATAACGGCCGATATACCAGGTCTGGGTGAGGATATCTTCTTGGGTACTGGAATGTCCTGGCGGTGAGGATATCTTCCTAGGTACTGGAATGTCCTGGCAGCAGGGTGCACCGACGAAGGCACACGTGACGAAGAGCACTTCGTCGCAAAGCGACACTGAAATGGTCTGAGCAATGAGATTGTAGCAAATGCCTAAAAGTTGAAAAACCCAGTTCACCTTTCTTACTTCCGGACCCGCTCTAGTTATTAAAGTTGTTGTAGCTGGAATCGTGTCCCAGTCTCGTGTTTCTCACCGAGAGAATGTTCAATACGCACCGTCCCAACACATGCTCCAGTTATCCCAGAAGTCGCAACACCAGATGCCAATACGCCTGTGCCAGCGTCAAAACCCTGTGAATTGCAGTATCAAAGAAATCTTGCCATCCGAAAACAAACCCGTAAAGACAATCCGGAAATCCTTCTTTTCCAAACCCTGTAACACGCTTTGAAAAGACGAGAACTTTCATAAACACAGATCATCTGAGGGGTCCAGGCGGGCCTTCCGGCCGCCGACACCCGAAGGGAGCGGTGCGCGAGCACGCCCTTGCCCTTAAGAAGGGCGCGAGCAGCCGCTTCTCGGCGCTCGACGAGTCAAGCTGCGGGAGCACTGGGGCCGCGCGGAGGAGTGTAAGAGCACGGAGTCCAGGGCCTAAGAGGTTCTACAAGGATTCCGTGAAGGCTCTAGGAAGGCTCCAAAAAGGCTCTGTAAGGGCTATATGAAGGCTATCTAATTAAGGGCGTCTACACAGGGCTCTATAAGGGATATGTAAGGGCTACAGGAAGGCTCTCTAAGGGGTTTCTGGGAAGGGCTCTATAAGGGCTCGATGAAGGTTCTACAAGGGCCTGAGGTGATGGTTTATGTGTTTCACAAAATCTCTCGCAAGGGTCTTGTAATGGCTCTTCTAGGGTTTTAACAAGGGTTCTCAATGTCGTAGTAGTAGTAGTAGTAGAAGTAGAAGTAGAAGTAGAAGTAGAAGTAGAAGTAGAAGTAGAAGTAGTAGTAGTAGTAGTAGTAGTAGTAGTGGCAGCAGCAGTAGCAGTAGCAGTGGCAGTAGTAGCAGCAGTGGTAGTAGTGGTAGTCGTAGTGGTAGTGGTAGTGGTAGTGGTAGTGGTAGTAGTGGTAGTGGTAGTAGTGGTAGTGAGTGGTAGTGAGTGGTAGTGGTAGCAGTAGCAGTAGCGGTAGCGGTAGCGCCAGCGGNNAGCAGCAGCAGGAGGGGGAGGAGTAGCAGCAGAAAAAGTAGTAGTATTGGTAGTAGTACAGGCAGTAGCACAGTAGGAAGAGGAGTAGGAGTGGAGGAGCAGAAGCAGGAGCGGAAGCAGTAGAAGAGTAGGAGTATGTAGGATTAGGAGTAGGAGTAGTGTAGGAGTGGGAGTGGGGTGTTTTGTAGAAGTTGAACTATGGTAGTGGGAGAAGAGGAGGTAGCAGTTAAATTCACACTCATGGCCCTAACTAAACCCTAAACCCTATTCTCGAGCCTCTCTTCGAAACTCAGGAAAGGCCCAGCGGCCGTCGGTTTGTGGCCTGCACCAGCCGCCTGGAAGAACAGGGATGTCTCGGGTGTTATCTGGTTCCCTGTTGGGGCAATATTAGAGATGATCACTGTTCATCCTAATTGGGTTTTATTATAACAAAAATGTNNAAATTGTGTCCAACAAGGACCCAGCTATGAATTCAGGACTATGCGTCAAGATTTAGCGACCAGGGGCCGCTGATGCGATGGATTCGGACTTACTTTCCGTAGGAGCCGTGCGACCAGCCTTGATGCCATGTTGTCCCACTTCGCCCTTGCTACTTTTAGGCCTTTACGACAGACTTTCACAGTTTAGGAACAACGGGATTCAAGGTCATGTCGTTTTGGGGCTTGCATTCGGAGTCCGCATTCAGACTAGTCGCATCACAAAACCTACTTCTGATAAGAAATCATGCACCTTCCAACCTCTTAAAGCTTGCACTAAAACCCTTCATAAATCCCCGAACCGCAAAACCTTAAACCCAAAAATCATAAACCCATAATGCCGAACCGTATGGGAACAGCAGGCAGGAGCCTTCGTAAGGTGCGCCGGACAAGGTCCACTTCGGCTCCAAAAAGGATTCCTGGTCGATCGGCTCAGGGTTTACCAGCCCAGAGGCTCCAAAAGTTCCAGGGTTTAGGGGTTTAGGGGT